CACTACTGAAACTCCAACCTTCTAGATTGTTCCCCTGAGTGAGGACGCAAAGCAATCAAATAAAATAATAATACCTACATAATCTCATGCTTACACATGGAAGCTGGTCGCTTTATTATTATTATTATATCCTTTAATTCCTAGAGGAACATAGGGATTCAGCTGAGCATCTCCATTGCCTTCGGTTTTCTGCCATTTTTTTCACTTCGCTCCAAGTCTGTCCACATGCTTTCATCTCCTCTTCACATGACCTCCTCCAAGTCACCCCATCCTCTCACTGACGACCAACTCGCCGCCCGCTTCCCTTTCGGGCTCCACTCGAGCAATCGCGTGTCTAGTGATGTCACTTGATGGTTTGTTTTCTCAGAGTATGGCCAATCCATCTCCATTTCTTCCTGTCTATTTCTTTCACAATCGGTTCCTGATGGGTTGGTTCGCTCATTTCCAGAGATCCCTGTTACTGATCTTTTCTGGCCGGTCATCTGATCTTTAGTACTGAGCGAAGACAACTGTTAATGAAGGTCTGTAGTTTGTTTGAGATGCTCTTTATCACGCGCAGTGCAAGTCTCTGATCCGTACAGTGAGTAGCACTGACTTCACTGGTCACTTTAGTTTACTACATTTCAAGAGTAACTTCCCAGGGATTCCATTTCCTTCCAATTTCATCACGAACTGACAAATCAGTTAGAGAATCATTGGAAACCAACCAGTATCGGACAGTGATTTCGTCCTAGTCCATAACTAATCGGCAGTATCCACCCATCACCACCCTACACATGTAGGAGTAAAACTCAGTCAGCTACTTCGACAGGAATCCATCGAACAGCGCATAAATTCTAACTTCTGTCACTTTGCGATCACAGCGAGATTGACACCAAATCAAATTTCATCCTGTAGCTAGTCACGATCACGAGTGGATATTATGCGCCTAAAATTCGACAACGAAAGTCAGTCAAGTAATCAAAGCTGAACTCACCACCACTCATCTTATTAGCACCCCGAGTGTTTCTATGCAAGTCAGTCCAATCTTTACTCAACCATCCAAATTTCAGAATAGCTTACACTATTAGATTTCACCTATTCTCCCTTAAGTAGCGCTACATTGAACTGAAATATTCATAAAATTCTTCAGCACTGAAATCTTGTTGAAGCCATAAGTCACTTTAATTTTTAAAAGTTCATTATTACTCAAATTTCAAAGGGTAAGTGGTCTTGAGAAATGACTGTCACATGTATATGGTGTATGTAGGGCTGACAGCACAAGCCATTCAAACAGAATGGACAATAATACAATTCGTCATCGGTTATAGAGATCAATAGATATCGGAGAGCATTACTCTATAACCGTTTCCTTCTCATTCGGGACTTTTCGACAGTGAAGTACTCACCCGTGACCCTACCTGTGGGGACCAAGACTCAGGACCTACCTGCTTACGAGACCAAGTCCGCTGCCCATTCAGCTACTTGGGCGGGGATTCATTGACCTGTGAATTCTAAGTTTGTCAACACAAGGTGTAGTGCTGTCGTCTCATTAGTGCCATCGATGAGCGTCCATGTGACTTCGTCATGGTATAGGTTTACCCAACTAGTCACGACTTCTCATTACTGCTTCAGGACACTCGTCAACCAGTAGCCATCAATCCCATAGTCTAAACATGGGATAGTGAGAAGAGTGTCAGCTAGGTTTATTCGTAACCAGTGTGAAGTAATAGCCTCACTAGTTCATTACTTTTCTGGCTGGTACTAATTCCCGGAAGAGAGGAAAAATTAAGTGTGGAGCCGTAGATACTACACTGGAAAATCAACGCACTCGCTACAGAAATTCCAAAACGCAAGACAAATATTAAAATTGTAAAACGAGAAACTTATTATTCACTCGAACCGCAGAGACGAGCTAATGAAAGCGCCAGTCAGCACAAATGTATCTTCATTCGATGAAAGCAAACATAAGCCTTGCGACGCGGGATGTCCGTACAATTTACGGGACTGAGGTTGCCAAGGAGGAATCAGAAGATACGGCACAGAAGTGCTAGAAATTCGCGAGAACAGGTGGAATGGGTATGGACTATACAAACTGCTAACTAACGAACCAATAATCTACACCGATGGGCCACACAACAACCATGAGCACACTGAGGAAGGAGCTACCGTGATGTTACCAACAGCTCTCAAAGCTGTAATGCAGTGGGAATCAATCTCTTTTAGGATTATGAAAGAAAGGATCAACTCAAAAGGAAAGAAGGAAGCAAAGTTATAACTAGCCAGTATACTACAAACAATTCAGAACAAGAGAAGAAGAAAGATCTCTATAGGCAACTCTAAACAGTAAAGGTAATGGATAAGGCGCCAAATGGTGACATCAAAATCCTTATGAGCGATAAGAATGCCAAAACTGGGAGCTGAGTATACAGGGAAAAAATTTATCATGCATCCAAATGCTCTAGGAGAAATGAATAAGAACAGAGAAAACTCTTCGCAGATTACTGTACCTTCAGTGATTTGGTGATTGGAGGTAGCGTATACAACTATAAGGATAGACACAAAGCAACATGAACTCTGACCAACGGATACTCCAGAAACCATAAAAACTTCATGTCAATGCTGGTCGACAAAGTGGAGACGCAGTTTCCTGGACACAAAGGTAGAGAAGACGAGTAGATGTAGGCTGAAACCATTATCTGGTTCAAACAACTTTCAAAGTCAAGCTGGAAGCCTTAAAAGCAACTGGGGACAGACCAAAATTCAAGTTCAACACTTAGAAACTGAAACACCAGAGTACAGAAGATATCTTTTCTACAGCCATCACAGTAAAGTCGGAGACGTTACGTAGCAGCATCGAAGAAACCGGTGTGGAAGAACATTGGAACTCTCTGAAAGTGAAATTCAAAGAGACATGTGTAGCCGTTTTAGGAATACAGAAAAGACAAGACAAGGGATGGCCATCTATCTACGAACACGTGGAAGCTCTTAGAAGAGAAAAAGATGGTGAAACAGAGGACAGACAAACACAAAGATAGACAACAGAAGGAGAAGCGGAGTAAAATGTACATCGCGCCGAATAAAGAAGGGAAGAAGAGTGATGGGGAAGACGGAAGATAGCTCTAAGACACAGTGGTAACTGAAGCAGAACAAGCCGCAGGTAAAAGAGGCCTCAAGAAATTATATCAGATAACAAGGTCTCTATCCGTCCCGAAATACCACCAACAGCCACCACAGAACTGCCAGTGCACAAAAATCATCCAACAAAAGCAAAAGTCTCAAATACAGTCAAGCAAGTAAACGCCAGTCGGTAAGGCAGCAGGACCACACGGAATTCCGCCCGAAAAACTGAAAAGGAACTCATAGAATGCAGAAGATAGACTCACACTACTACTATAAAAATGTTCCGAAGGAAGAAAGGGTAGCTGCTGATTCGAAGAAAAGCCACCTTGCTGAACTAACAAGGAAGAGTGACATAGGCCTTTACAAGAACTGGTTAGGAATCATGAGATCATGCTTAAGGCAAGTAAAATACAGAGTAGTGTCATCATGGAGAGAATAAAAGATGCACTCAACGCAGAACACCGACCAGAACAAGTTGGATTCGGGAAAAGCAAATGAGATTGGCAGATCGAATAGCAACTCAACACACATCATCGTCATCAGAGAACAGAGCAAAGAACGGCAGTCAAATCTCTACCTCAATTTCATCAAATTCGAAGAGGCCTTCGACACAGCGCTGACCGTGAAATAATTTGGAAACTTCTTCAACACTATGGACTGCAGTGCCCTAAACCTTTATCAACGTTATTCAATAGCTTTATGATAACACCACGTGTCAGCTGATCCCCCAACGGAAACCTCAATGAGGCGTTCGATGTGAATACAGGAGTAAGACAAGCTGGCCGCCGCCTGTTATCAACAATGATATCCCGAGTTGTAGTCGACTGGATTATGCGTCACACAGTATTTGGAGAGCAAGACAACAGGAGTACGCTGTATTGACCGATAAGAAAACTCTAGAAGATCTGGATTCCGCGGATCATTTATGTTTAATGTCACACAAAAACTCGAAGACTTAGAGGCAGGCTAAAACCAACGAACTGGCAGAAGTGGCAGGCAGTGAACATATAGAAGACACTGGTGATGAAGACTACCAACCAACCAACAAGAAAAACAACTAGACACTATTAACGGAGTAAATTTGAAAGACGTCACTTTCTTCACTTATCTAAGAAACATCGTTTCAACTACAGGCGACGGGCGGTATATACGAGGGTGTCAAAACCACAATCTGTAAGGCAAGACAGACTTTTATTTCCCTGAAATGAATCTGGAAACCTGTTACACTATACATAGAGAACAAAAGTCCGATTTTCAACGCAAATGTTAAGTCCGTCAGTTCTCTTCTATACTGATCAGAAATGTAGCGTGGGGCTTCTTCATGAAAAACATTTCAAACAGATCATTTCAGGATTTTATTAACAACTGCTTTTGCTGGCTCCATCTGGAAGAAGAAGGAATGGCCTGCCAGAAATAATTAGCAACAAGAAACCCTGCGAATGAACTAACCAACCAAGAACCCAGTACTCAACAAATAGGTGGAGATGGATTTGACAAATCAAGCACTAGGCCATTGCTCCAGCGGAACCCGAATGGTAAACGACGAGTTGGGTGTAGATCCAAGGGTGACATGAGGCCAGATCGTGCGGGGAGGAGGAGATGACAGACTGTAGGCAATCTTTACGCCAGTCGAAAAGTATCACAGACAATAGGACAAAATGGAAATGTTCGGTTGAAGCCCCCTATATTCCACTCGGAACGCATAGGGGTAATAATGACAATACAAAGAAAACTGCTAATTAAAACTCTTACAGTGTTGATAAATTCCATACGATAGAAAAAGGCAGAAACACGATTTAAAGCAGATCACCTACCTATCAACAATCGTCCACAGTAAATGTACTAGGAGCATATTCATAGTTTAATAAGTCAGTGACAGTAGGACGTTCGTGATAATTTCGAGATAAACATTCTTCCAAGGCCTTTAAGAAAGTAGTAATGATACAAAAAACAAAAATGTAAACAATTCTGCATAAACCACATGGTATATAATTACGCTTCTATGTAAGCTAAAGTATAAAAGACGTGAAAAAAAAGAAGTGATGCTTCTCACGACGTTGTTTTGATTAAAAAATAATTCTTACCTACTTACCCACCTGCCACCACCTTACTGCCAAATAATCACTGCAAGATTAGTTGAAGGCTGTCATCATGAGTTGACACATCAGTTAGAGAAGTATTGTAAAACCACTTGGGAGTATTGGACAGCTGTTTCGTCCTAGTTTGGGACTCTCCAACAGTATATACAGCTGTTCAATACTCCCAGGTGGTTTTCCCAATACACATTTTCATGCATACTCTTGTATTGTAGAGTTTTTAATACACTGTTTCATACACCTTTGGCACTCTTTAGTACCTTTTTCACTTACACTCTTGTGTGTGATGTGACAGTTAATTTTCCCTTATTGGAAAATAAACATATCTTCGTGAAAGTAGGTGGTCTTCTGATTCGCCTCTTCGCTTCAGGACAAATTAAGTACTCAGCAGTACCAGTCTGTATGTTATCGTCCGTTATATCTCACATCAGGCGCACATTTATACTCAGTCACACACCATAATATCGGCAACGACCCCATAACATATATTGACAACGAGTACATAACACAGCCTAAAAGGACACAATTGAAATGTTCTCTTGGAAGCCCTGTGTTATACTCGGAATCCATAAGGGTAATAATAATAATAATTTGACAATCCTTCTGGCATCTTTTTTGTGATCCTGTCAGTAAAAGGTGTAGAGTCAGTCACTTACTTTTTGAAACCAATTATTATTGATAGCTGGAAAAGGGATTTTCATAGTTGGATCGATTATCGCTTGTATACGTGCTTCTACCGTTTTCTGTGAAAATGGTGTCCTCCCATAAATCATTAGATACAGGATTACTCCCAACGACCAGACATCAGATTTCCTACCAATCTTTTAAAACAAAGAAAACCGTATGTGGAAAGTAGGAAAATTAAATAAATAAATAAATAAATAAATAAATAAATAAATAAATAAAAGAAACGCTAACATGCAAATAAGTTACAAAGGAGTCACATGTCAGTCAAAAAATATCCAGTTTATGTGAGTGTGCAAACGCACAACTAGGACAATGTTTCTCCACGTCATCCACCTTCTGAAGGAAAAACAGCAGATTATTTCACCACTTTTCTTCAGTATACTTAAATTTGTTTACAAAGAAGTCGATTGATGAGCTTGTGAAGCTGGATCGATTGTGGTGACAAGGTCATATGTTGCGAATTCCGAAGCAACCATCGCCTTCCTCAGTGAGCAAAGTTAAATAACATACGTTCGGGTCCGGAGGGAGTTAGGGTGGTGTTCAACGATTGGTTTGAGCCAGTCCCGAGGTGTGGTGTAGACTGCTTGATTGGAATAGTTGGGATGCTAAGGACCAATGGTTGGAGACTATCGGTAATATTGCTTCAAAATCGTCCTCAATAATGCAGATGTATTCAGTCTTTGTGGTCTTCCATCTCTCCATTATATCCTCATCATTTTCCATATTGCTACTTTTTCTACTATATATATCAGCTCACTATCGTTCTTTCGAATTTCCTTCTCCTATCCTTCCTTGTTTGATGATGCATGCATGCAGTGTGGCAACTTGACGACATCTTGCATTCCTGTGCAAAGTTCAACGTTTTGAAGCTCAGTCGGTGGTCAAGAGCGACCTCTTGCGTCAACACATTACACAAGAAACGAAGAAATACATGTTTTAACTCCAGTGTGATAACGTTTGTCATCACCACTTTCAGAAATTCACAGTATGCAAATGGGTAACCGAAATACAACTAGGAGGACATGCATAGTCAACACCACCAAAAACTTCCGTAATCCTTCCTAATATGCCTTACAAACAAAATCCGACTGTGGTAAGAGAAAAATCAGTCCACAGGATTAACACTTGCCCTAATAAGACCCAGCATAAAATAGTATACCATCGCTTCTCTTGAATTGTGTGATTTATCATGTGACACAGTGAGTTACTATGTGAATGTATCATTCCTCACACATATTGTGATTAGTGTATGTCTTTTTGTGGTCAAATTCATCTTCCTTTGTCTCACCCTGTTCTTTGTTTGATCACCAACCAATCAGAATAGATATTTCCAACCAATGAGAACAATACAACTTCCCCACAGTCGTAAGTCAACTTTATTATTATGGTCAAGAAAATATGTACATATCATGTGTCGTTTCTTAAGCTCTATTGTATAGTATAGTACAATACAATAATCTTACAGTCACAGGCCAGTAGCCTTTGTCTTTTGATATTTGCATAGCTGTATGATTCAGAAGGTACAACGAACAAATAGACAGATTAGCGTATATATATATATATATATATATATATACAATTTCCCTCACGTTCCCAATGGAACATAGAGCTTCAAGCTAGTGGCTTGACGTTTCTGTAGCAGTGTTTATTTTTACAGGATGGGGTTGCTAACCTCATGCCCGATTTCCCTCTTTACCAGTCTTATTACTGGCTAAGTGACGTAAAGGAGTGCGTCCGTGGCCGGGTATCGAACCCCGGACCATGTGCATGGTCGGCGAGCTGTCGAGTTCATTACCATTATAGTAATTAACAGACGCGGACATAACTAAGTAGCAACAGGTCTTCTATTCAGTTCACTCCAGTTGAGTTCAGTTACAACAAATTGGCAACGGAGTTATAACACTCCCTTAACCCAACTTCTTCTCTTACACAAAGTAAAGCAGCAGTATGTGGCGTAGGAGTTGGTTCTCACATTCTGATAAGCGAGTAGTAAATGCTTTCTCAACGTCTTGAAAAGTGATCACCATCCAATGTCACAGTGTACTGGATACAACAAGTTAGAACTTTCGTCTTGTTCTTTGCGTTGACAGTGGAAAATAGAGCATAGCCTGAGAAAAAAGGAAATTTGAAAGTAGGCGTAGTAACTCCACCCTCCAAAAAACCAACACCACAGTCAAGTCACTGGAATCTTAAGGCTTCAAGAAGAAGTCTGGACACAGCCAACCCTATGTTCCAGCCAAAGCTCAAAGGATTGTGAAACAATTATTGAGCTGTAGTTCATTTTTTCCCAAGTACATGGCCTTCAATTCGGGCCATATTTTGAAATTTCAAGAAATCTATGAGTTACAACACTGTCTCGAAAGAAAAAAAATTACTAGGTTACAGGATTTCATCATGAGCTAACATTGGTTAGAGAACCATTGGAAAACAACCTGGGAGTAATTGACAGCTGTTTCGTCCTAGTTTGGGACTCCTCAGAGGTACACTACCACAGAAGTTTGAACCCAGGACTTTCTGGTTATAAAGATAAATTCAATATTTTCATAAAACAGTATGATAGGATAATGAGAAGTAAAACAGGAAATAAAATTGCATATTCAACGTTGAGGTATCACGACGACCCACACATATATGAGTACAGCTGCAACGAACCTTAAGTTCTGTATTCTTTTTCTCCTCTGAAAAACAACCCCATCTATATGTTGGTCTACGCTTTGGCCTTTTCTTCAACTCTTCTGGACTCATATACGGTACAGCTTCCAAATGCATCCGTTCATTCAATGTTGATGATTTGTAAGGGAGTATTCGACTAGCTTTAAAGCCTTTAAGTTTTAATTGACCCTCCAATAAAATAAAGTTCTGTGGTTTCAAGTTTAAGTGAACGATGCCTGAAAAATCAAAAGAAACAAACGAATTAACAAATTAAACAGAAAAATAAACAACAGGATCAGACATTAAAGGAAATTGTGAAAACCGAATCATCGGTCAAAAAGGCAAGCAGCAACTACACAACTTCAAGTCAACAGACAGACAAAAACACAGCTCCATTATGGGTAAATTTTCTTTTGATAAAGTCTCACTGTGGTGTTATACAGTAAAGTTTACTGATGACCCCGTTTCGAGCACAATTTATTGCCTGCCACTCATAATCATATCAAGGTACTATTCACACAACTTCCTAACATTCATTTATATAGTTCCACCAATATCTATCGTAGCAGATATATTTATGGATAGCTAGGATAATATGGATCTTAATACATTTAATCCTACTCCAAACGCAATATGGTGGAGATATGTGGATGACACTTTCACAGTGTTAAAAACAGAAAATATCTCCAGCTTCTTGACATACATAAACTCACTAGTGGAGGGAATAAAATTCACATTTGTAGCGGAAAATGAACAAGGAGAATTCACTATGATGTTAGATTGTAAAATAAAACGAATAGAAGAAGGTAAACTACACGCTACTGTTTATAGAGAAAACCAACCAACGAATTCTAATAGATATTCAGACCTCTTTAATTCATCTCATCCGTTAACTGTCTGTCAAGGCAGGCTTAGTTAAGTGTTCAAAAAACTGAGCAGTGGCACTAAGTAGCACAAGAAAAGACCTAAATGATGAACTAAAGCAGATAGAAGAGGCGTCGGTGTTAAATAACTATCTTATAAAATTCATTAGAAAGATTGAAAAAGGCCAAACGAAAAATAAAAATAATTGTGAAACTAGTAACAATAACATAAATAAGAGAGAATATAAGTCATCTACAGTTATGCCATATAAAGAGGGGACATCTGAAACCCTACGTAGGATTCTAAATAAAGCAGGAATTAGGGTGGCATTTAAACCTACAAATTCACTGAGGGACAAGCTCTGTAGGTTAAAGGACCCAGTTGACCCAATTAGACAAAATAATATTATTTACAAAATACCATGCAATGACTGTTAGGTCAACTACATAGGTCAAACTAGTAGGTCAGGGGTAGTCAGATTGTCAGAGCATAAGAATTTAGCTAAGGTAAGAATGGTTGACCCCGAGAAGATAAGTAATTTAGAAAAAAGCTCAGCAATTGCAATGCATGCGCTAACACACAACCACAAAATAGGGTGGGCGAGGGTTAAAATTCTAATATGTAATCTAGGTAGGTGAAGAGAGAGGTTGATTACTGAATCCTGCTTGGTTCATTGAACCTACACCCAACACATGCAATAGGAATGACTCATCACTCATACCCGAAATATGGAAAATACTACTACCAATCAAATCAAGTGAAAAACAATGGAACTATATGGATGAAGTTAGAAAAGTCGTGTGATTACCTTGATATGATTATGAGTGGCAATAAATTGTGCTCGAAACGGGGTCATCAGTAAACATTACTGTATAACACCATAGTGACACTTTATCAAAACAAAATTTACCCATAATGGAATTACACTCTACCACAGTGCACAAGTTTTATTCTTATATCAAAGAAACGCAGCTGATGAAGATAACCGATCAACAACACCAGCCAACCAATCAATCAACCGACCACCAGTCACTATCACACAACAGGAGACATTTCAACCACATCAACACCAATTCCGCTACTCTCTTAACCAAACACCAACAACAACAACGTTTCAACTACAGTCACCCGAAACACATGAACATGTCAAATCCTCTATCGCAAAGACAACACACACACACCCGCTCACTCAAATTTATTCATCAATCTCAAATCAGTGTGCAAATGTCTCAACTCCACAACAACTAAGCATCAACAAAAACATTCAGATTTTAAACACACACCAATGTCAAGCCATCACTTGGTGCTTTCATCATATGCGCTTCAGAGACTGACTGACTGACTTGGCGTGTGCGTGCGTCACTCAAAGTATTTCCAACACGCAGACTGCTCATGACCTTCATATCAACAGCTAGCTAGCTGACCTGTCCTCTTCATTGACTGCATACTAAACATGATCAGATAGCCAGTCAGAGAGGACAATCATCAAAGAGGAACTCTGGAAACAGACCAACTAAGTACTCATAGCTTAACAAATATCACAAAGAAAGCGAAGATGAACCGGATACGCGTTCAGGGGACAGTGGAATAACACAACGCAACACACCAACTATGGAGTGAAACCTGGGTGGGAAATGGTGAGCTTACAGTGAATTAGAGAAGTTTATGTGGGAAGTAGATAAACAGATAACGGGCAATCGTCGAGTCAGATAAAGACGACTGCACAGAGGACAGGTCGAAATGGAGATATTCTGTCGAAATCCTTTCTACAACTGAGAATCTCAGGGAATAATAACAAATAACGAAAAGCAGTCGTAACAAAATGCTTCTTGCATGCTATACTAATCTATGTGAAATAAAATGACAGGAGATTAATAGCATCTATCACCTTGGAAACCAATTACACTAATAGTCAACAACCAACCAAATGACACGTGCCAAACTCAAACGAGAGTCGGCTAGTAGTAGACTAGTAGTAGCGCACGTTATCCGTGTTATCCAAATGCCTAGAGAACAACTACTCGTCATTTTTCCTACTAAATGGAATTACCTGAAAGCTGCATAGAATCGGCCTGTCCATTAAATAAGACCGTCATGGAACATCACTACATGTGTTCAGTTACCCCATTCATCATTTACACCTCATCAGTCTTCAACATGAAGACGGGTCACTAGAAGTCTGATACAATTCAGAATAGAAAATAAGTGCAGATCATAATACTACCGCTGTTTTGCCCCTAGAACAATCAACAGTGATGTACCATATTAGTTTGTTTATTAGATACATTACACAGTAAAACAGTATTAATTACTGGATGACAAGGTTCAGAAACACAGTTCATTGTTCATAATCATATCAATTATAATCACACAACTTCGAAACTTGATATTATCATAATATCCCACTGTGGTAATCTTCAACTATCTTCCCCTTTCTTATGATACCACCAGACATGGACAGAATATATCTTGATTATGCCAGCTGACATGACATGACGTGACATGTACTGAGTGGCCGCAGAGTCCCACATTACTGACATGTTAGACGTGATGGATACAATATTTGACGAATTTGGCTTCGTAAGCTGAAATTCCTTTGTTCGATCCGTGTAAGTGAGGACTGATGACCAGTCAGTTGCAAACTAGGCGGAAGAAACAGCTGTCCGCCCAATACTCTCTGGTTCTCAATGGTTGTCAAATAACTGGCTGACATCAATCAGTGATTAGAACGTGAACAAACCAAATCCCTACATAGACACTCTTGAAAATTATCTTTAGTAAATGAATAAACCGCTTATTCTCCTCTCCCAACAGAATTAGCAAAGTAATTTCCCCTGAGGTATTCACAACTCAAACAACTGCAATAAAATATCTAACAAAATATAACTAAATTAAATAAAAATGGTGTTAATAGGTCTCCATAAGTAACATCACTTCACACACCAACTGTTATGGACACTCCGATCACATCAAAATATCTCTAATCCAGTGCAATCAAATGGAGTCTTCACTAAGTCGTGAAATATACCGCATGTAGGTTTCCAGCCAGTTACTTCACCCATATTCCCTACGTACCCCACCCCACCGACGCCCAGAAATCTGTCATCTGGTTGTGAAATTAGGCTGATCCACTCTTCCTTCTTCTCTATGAGATACACTTTTTCTCCGTATGAGACTACAGACATCATAAAATCATATGCTTAGTCAAAGGGGACAACAGTTCAAATGAAACTCAAAAATTATTACATTGCTATTACTATATACGTGCATCGGTGGCATAGCGGTAGGGTGCTAGCCAACCAAGCAAGTGGTCCGGGTTTCGATCCCCGGCCACAGACGCACTCGTTTACCTCGCTAAGCCAATAGTAAGACTGGCATACAGGGGAGGTTGGGCATGAGGCTAGCTACCGCATCCTGTAAAAATAATCACTACTACTACGACTACTACAGAAACTTCAAGTCTCTAGCTTGAAGTCCTACGTTCAACTGGGAACGTAAAAGAATGAAAAAAATAACTTTATACAAGCAAACTAACTAAAGATAGTGCAAGACTTCTTGAATAATGCAAGTTGACAACCGAGACACATATCAACCACTGTGCAAGACCACAGACTATGAAATTCGTAATAATAATAATAGAAAATGCAGTATTGTAGTTATGTGGTTGACGGAAATCGGTACGAAGATTCCATCCTGAGTTTCCAGTTTGTTGGCAGCCACCGTTACAGTAAGCTGTATCTGCAATCTTCAACGAACTCAAGCCCTTCCCCAGATCTGAACACAGGACACTGGTTATCCCAGTGCTACAATCACAGACATTAGCACTGGGCTATTTCAGCTCGCAATTGACCTCCTGCAGAACCATAATGAGTACTTTGATTGCACGCCAGGCAGGTAGCAAATAATATCCAACCACAAGGCATTAAGTATTTCGACGTTTGATAGGGCGAACATCGACTGTAATTATGGCTTCAGAATTGTGCTACCATCTCGTTAAATGCTAACAAAACTTCATTCGACTAACTTGGTTTTAGTTTTTTTATTATCTTTAGAATTATTACTATTACTATTACCATTACCATTACTATTATTATTATTATTATTATTATTATTATTGATAGTAGTAGTAGTAGTAGTGAAATTTAGATTGTAAACAAACTTACCTAGATCATGAAGTTCTTTCACACATCTTAACATCTGATCCCAGTAGAGTATAACAGCTGTTGTCGGCATACGACTAACGAATGAAGACGTTGTACTACTTCCTTTAGAAGCATATTCAATAATAATTTTACTCAGATCACATTCCCCTTTCTCCAATACCAAAATAATAAGCTCAGGCGTTTGTAGACTACAATTGAATGGTAAAAATAACAAACAGTCGACATATTATTCGTGATAGGCATTTGGTGTAGAGTAAGTAGTTAAATGATAAATTGAAAATTTTCACAGAAAGCTTCACAGCAGTCTCTCTCTCTCTCTCTCTTAGCGCTGAGATTAAAAATGAAGAGACTAATGAAATTTTAGTGTGTACTAAAAAACACCATTATTCCCTAAATCGCAATATACACACAACATGTCCGATCAATGGGAATGAGGCTGGTAGTCAACTCAGAAAAAAGTTCAATGTCTACACATCCGACTACATCATAAACCAGGTACCGCCAAAGACAGGAAGAACTCGGTCTTCTACTCGGAATCCTCCCATATGACCAAGCGTTTACAGCCTGTACGAAGAAAGTCCCATTCAGTACCTTATAGAAATAAAAGGGCGAATGACAGCGTCTACCAATCACTCACAACAGGACTGATAGATACCCTACTCCACCCAGAGAAGCTGGAGAACCCTGATTGTCCTATGGTGTACATGAGCTCCAGAATAAGCAAGGAGCAAATGGACTGTGAACCTCCTTCGTTCACCGTAGCTCCTGACTCCACTTCACTGACTTGTGATGAATCAGACTTCAAATCAAAGGCTCAGGGGTGGCCTCTCAGGACAATCACAATGCGAACACCAATCCTGTGTTTTAACAGCATAACAACAATCGAAAACAGTCCTGATGAACGTCAGAAAGTGTAGCACGTGTACAACGAACATGAAAGCTGGCAAAACTATATTTATGCACATCATAATATGTAGAACAAGGAAGTGAGTAGCTGAGTAAGCAAGTGAGTAAGTAGGTATGTAAGAATCCAAGTCCCATTCAAATTGACTTTCAGATACACCCACCTTGTACAAAACTGTAAAACAGTCCAATAACAAAACGAGTCGACAGGTACTACTTGATATCTACGCATATGTGCGATGCCACCCACATCTAAGCTAAATAGCCAGTATGAGGGATGCCTTCACAAGAACATGAACACATGTGGGTCATTTGTTGTCACAAAACGTGATGTGCAGTTTTATTCTTATAAACTTTTGTCTTCTCACCACTACATTTCTACTCCATATGGCATTTGATCCGCCTCTTTCAGTTTTAGCTGACTTCTAATTATTAGACTATTACTGTTATTTCGGCAGATTCTTAGTTGAACACAGGGTTTCGACATTCTACTCTCTACAGTACTCATTAGCTGGCGCCACGATTCCCCATAGTCTCTCATCTTCTCCTCCTCACACGATCTCCTCAATTACACCATAGGAGACGACGCAAACTCCCTGTTTCCCGTTCGTTCACCTTCCTCTCGAGGGTTAGTCTGCTGTGTGATCACACTCATCGAGTGTCCGATTGTCACAATGCTGTTGAATGAGGTTGATAAAGATTTGTGGAACTCCGTTGTGTTGAGGCAGTTTCCAATTTATTTCGTGCTCAACCCTGTCGAAGGCCTTTACAAAATTGATGAAGTTGAGGTTGGAGACTTACTTGACTGACACTCTGTGCTGTGCTCGATAATGATACGTGGCATTGTGACTCAATCAACACATGATTTAATCGCCCTGAATCCAGCCTGTACACTGTTGAGTTTTGCATCCACAGCATCTTAAAGTCTCTCCAGAACGACGCGAATCAATACTTCGTAGGAAGTGGACAGGAGTATGACACCGCACCAGCTTCTTAAAATACTTAAATCGACTTTCCTTGACAGTCTAACAAAGGCAACCTTCCTTACAATCACTTCCAAACTTTCTGAGTGTCTTGAGTATATTTGTTGTGGTCTGAGTATTAATTGTCTATGCCTCAAGAGGAACTACGTCACGTTCGGTTGCCTTCAAAGCTTTCAGTAACTTAATGGCATTCACAACTGCTGCTTTTGTCGGCAGATTGGTTCTCACTGGCAGTTCAGTGATGGTTGTTGGTGATATTTCTGGGTGAATTGAAGGTGGTGATCGATTCAAGAATCCTTTCATGTGATCGACCAAATGTTTCTTCTGCTTCTACTCTTTCGTGAAACGGTTCCCATCACCATCTTTCATTAGTCTCTCTCCAGATAGCAACCTAGTTATATAGTCGTATAATGTTCTGAGGTCTCTCATACCTGCAGTCTGTTTTGGCTTCTGTTTCCAGTGTGTCGTGGAATTGTCTTTTGTCTTATCTTTATTTATTTTTTTATTTTTATTTTTTGATTACAGCTTGATTCCACACCGTATTTTTGGTACAAGTATGGAATTTTCAGCATGGATATCGGTAGCCCAAATTGTGCAGGCCGACCATAGATATCAGGTGTGCATCGGCGTGGGCTCGAACCCCGGACCATGTGCATGGTCGGCGAGAGTCCTAACCACTGTGCCACCGACGCACACTGTGTTGTATATTGCACTCAACTTCTCCTTACATTATTCATCTTTGAAGTGGTTCATCTTCTGGTTCAACATCCCTCTCCACTATCAGTTTTCACATGTTCGTAGAGACCCATTCTTACTGTCACTTCTTCTCACTCCCTAAAACAGCTAGCTGCACAGGTTCCCTTCAATGTCACTCTCAGAGAGTCCCAGTGTTCACACCCTTACCACAGGTTTCTTCAGTCATGCTACACAGTATCTCCGAATTCGCTCTGATGGCAGCAGAGAAGGTGTCTTTTGTAGTTTCATTCTTCACTTTTTGAGTGCTGAACTCCAATTATGGTCTACCTACAGCTTCTCTCTAACCTTGACGGTTCTTTGCACTAAACAGTAGTCTCAGCCCATATTTGCTTCTCTCCTCTATTTTGTGTTCAGCACACTGCATCTCCACGTTTTTGACCAGCACTGAGATGAAGTCCACCTGGAGAAACCCGAGTCACTTTGTTTATGCTCATGTGCTGCCCCTCCAATCGTCAAGTCATTGTAGGCACAGAGATCTCCAAAACGTTCTCCATTGTCATTCATCTCGACGAATGCATCCCCTTTTATATGACTGAATGAAGGATTTTTAAGCTATCCTTCCAACCACCAAGACTGACACGTAGTTGACTAATTTGTATATCAAAATCACGTCGACACAGTAAATCACGCACAAATTTACACAAGTTTTATACAAATTAGAAGCAGTAAACAGCCTCCACCACCTTCAAGTCACGAGGCCAAGCTTGTTGACCACTTACTCAGTCAGTCACTGGGACGGGATCCAATGGCACATAAATTTGTGACAGACAGAGCAACCAACAATGTTGCGACCAATGTCATCGGTGAGTACTTGTCCTCACACCCGTGTGAAGTGGGATAATAAGGTGAGCAACATTGAGGTTAGGCGTCGAGTTCTAGGTAAGGAGGGGAAATCAATCGACGAAGTCGTGAACCTACAAAGACTGAGATGATTAGGACATGTGTTACGTATGCCAAGTCATCGCCTCCCTCGACGAGCAATGTTAGCGGATGTAGGGTCAGGCTGGAAAAAAGCTAGCGGCGGTCAAACAAAAACTTGGCACCAGTCAATGAAATCCACAACAGTTGGTCTAAGCCACGTAGGAAGGTGTAGACTTCCAGGCTGGGGTCCTCGGGACGGTAAAAATCAATGGTTGGAAACATTCGGTGACATGGCTCAAAATCGTTCTCAGTGGCTGGTGCAGATGCATCCAATCCTTGTGACTTATGATTTCCAATGAAACTGTTTTGTTCTTCATTACTACTATTCCTTTGTCTCACACCTCTGTTTACTGTCTCTGTTATGCATTTCTTCTACTTTCTTCTCTTGCTTTGTGTACTACAAGGAGGAAGTGTGGCGACTTGAACTGGAGCACATATGTGCAAAGTTCTATGTCGAAAACAGACAAACAGACAGACACACCCGAGCTGATGGACACCACCAGTCACGACTACGCAGTGGAAGTCCAAGCAACCTCGTCCTTTACTCAGTCAGTCAGTCAGTAACTAGTGAGCATCAGATTAATTTTCAAGAGTTAGTTCACAGAGGTTTGATTTGTTTCAAGTCAGCTTATGAATGAATACCACTTACTAGGAGGATGTGGGCTACTACAATTTCGATATAAACACTTAGTGACTGGCCATTGGAAGATGACAAATAACTAAAGATGTGCAGAGACATCGAAAAACATGCGATGGAAATCCATCACGTCTGAGCCACACAAGAAGACGTGAGTTTTTCATTCCAGTCGTGGTCTCCACGATACTGATGGTTTTCACTTTTCACTGGTCTCTTAGGCTTCATTATCACTCAAAGACTAAATATAGCCTCTGTGTTTCCATTAGGGCATTACTTTGATCTCTCTCTCTCGCGCGCGCGCGCCCTTCGATATCTTGTTCAAGTGTGCCGATTCGAAGAGTGTGACAATAAAGAAGCAATGCACTCAATAGTACAACACCCTGAACTCAATACAACTGTGGATTTGCAGTAAAACACATGGGGAAGAAACAAACTGAAGTTATACGCAATGAACATGAAATTATAACTATAATAAGAGAATAATAACGTTAAAGATGTTCAGAGACGAAGTTAAATTTGTCCCGAAGTGCTTCTCTCTCTCCTTCTCCCACCCACTCTTCGTCCTCTTTAGTAAGGGTAGTAAAAACTCTCAATACTTACTATGTTCTCAATCGAATAATCCTATCGCTTTTCTGAAAACGTTTGAGCATTTCAATCTCGTGTAGGTAGGAGGTGACACACTCCTTCGAAATACCACGCTTCAATGTGACTACTTTAATCGCCCAAGGATTGAAACTGCCATCCAAAGCTGAATACACCTGAAGAAGGAAAATATTTGCGTTAAGAAGAAGGCGATTCAATTCAATTCAAGCAGGTGAGTAAGTAAGTATTTTTGTTCAACGATGAAGACTATCGGAATTTCATCACCATTTCGCAATAAATAACACAGTTAAACCTAACGAGAAAATCATGACGATAGCAGTGCTTTAATTCAATGCGATCAGTAGACAAGCTTTGATCACAAATGAATACAAGTTAAGTAATCACTTCAAAGGGACTCTTGAATTAACCATCACCTGCAACTCGTCCAGAAATACCACCAAAGGCCGTCACCAGTACCACCACTACAGAACTACCAGTGAACACACCAGTGTCTTCCGACAAGAGTAGAAGTCTTGAATGTTATAAAGCTACAGAGAACAAAACAGAAATTCCAAAGAGATTCATCCTACCAACGACTTTCATCAACAACCGCCTTCACTTCATACTGTAGTTTAGATTATCAACCGGAAAGGATAAGCAACAAGGAACTCGGACTGTTACAACGAATCAGCCAATCAACACAAATATCACGGAAGGAAATGCACACCAATTCGAAATGCACAGAGGAGACAGGTGAACAACATCATCCCAAGCTGGTTTTCGAGTAGAACTTGAATGGGAGACGAATAGTTGGGGTCACCCTAGTCGGTCCAAGGGTGATATCTTGGAGATCATGTGTGAAGAGAAAAGGGAAGTTTATGTGAGTAATCGTGGAACCAGCCGAAAAGGAGATCGCAGATGTGCTTCTAAAGCCCGATTTTCCATATGGAACTCAAGGCAACAGTAATAATAATAGTAATCAACATTGCTATAATAGTAATCAGTATAAGATAAACATTTGTTAGACTAGCTGATTCGGGTGATTGGCAGGAAACCCTGTCTAGGCGCCTAGGCGACGTGCTTGTTGGCAGGCACTCATTCACCAGTCGTCAGTAAGGTGTATCTTCAATCCTGAAGGAACTCATCTCCTCTCTTTCTGGGATACCATCATCGCTTTTACTACCCTTAAGTCTATGTGGAGGTCAACATCACTCAGCATTAAACATAAGATCCAGATCTTCAACTCCGATGTGAAGTCAGTGCTACTCACTGTACGGATCAGAGACTTGCACTGCGTGTCATAAAGAGCATCTCAAACAAACTTCTGACCTTCATTAACAGTTGTCTTCGCTCAATACTCAAGATCAGATGACCGGCCAGAGAAGATCAGTAACAGGGATCTCTGGCAATGAGCGAATCAACCCATCAGGAACCGATTGTGAAACAACAGACAGGAAGAAATGGAGATGGATTGGCCATACACTGAGGAAACCAGCAAGTGACATCACTAAACAAGCCAACGCTCTATTGGGACCAGAAAGGGAAGCGGCGAGTTGGTCGTCCAAGGGTAACTTGGAGGAGGTCATGTGAGGAGGAGATGAGAGCATATGGGCAGACTTGGGGTGGGTTGAAAAAGTTGGCAGAAAACAGAAGGCAATGGAGACGCGCAGCTGAAGACCTATGTTCCTCTAGGAATTAAAGGATATAATAATAATAATAATATCATTAATGACTTGTACATGAAACGCAAGCACCTAAAACAACAAAGTCATTCAATACAAGCTCGCTACTAAATCAGAAGAAATTATTAACACGGAGCATAATGTCTAGGGGAGAAACACACAACACTAAGTCACCATGATACCTATAACACATTGAATCCCATACATGTTAGACAACCAGACTCAGATGAGCACGATACACAAAAAGGTGAAGTATTCATCAAAGCGATGTGCACAAGCAGAAAACTACTTACCACAGATGAACCGCCTTCACCTAATCTACCAATTATTCGATAGAATTCACTTCCAACCATGACTTCATTCTTTTCCGCATCTTCTAAGTCGGTTTGTACACCCACAGAATGGTGTTGTGCCCCACTTCCAAATCCATCCTAAACAGCAGAATGAAATGATGAATACATATTATCACTGACGACAAAGTCAGCACAAGTGTGCTATCTCTCTTCAGAAAAGATAACATGAAAATCACTGATAATAACCAAAAGGGAATCAATCAATTAATGATAAGTGGTATTTTCGTCAATTTGCAATTAGGATAGGATAGGATAGGATAGCATATCAACCACTTGACATACCTTAGAGGATGTCCAGAAATTAGATAAATAATACTCACACCTGACTCGAAATTAGTAATACTGTGTGTAACTCTTAAATCTCCCGATGATTAGTATCTAGACAGAGGGGAGATACGCCTAAAAAGAATTCGATCACTTCCCTTACCCCTTCACATTCTCTTGTTTACTAGGATGATGAAAATTCACAGACTTATGTGAAGCAGCGATAACTGAAGCAATCTGTGAGAAAAATGGCACCGTAATTAGGTCTCAATGGCGCAGATGCATCCACTCTCTGTGACCTATGATTTCTAATGAAACTATATTGTTCTTCGTTATTATTATTCCTTTGTCTCACATCTCTGATTACTGTCTCTATTATGCATTTCTTTTTACTTTCTACTATTGTTTTGTGCGCTAAATGGAGTGTGGCGGCTTGAACTGCCGCACATAGGTGCAAAGTTCTATGTCAAAAACAGACAGACAGACAGATAATTAGGTCTCAGGTTAGACAACTGGAAAGTTGGAAAGAACACTTTGAGGAGAGATTTATTCGGCCTACAGTCAAGCTCAAACTACCCAGCATCCAACATCTCCCTGAATGGGACATAGACACAGGTCCTCCGTCCCTAACTGAGGCTGTCAATAATCTGAAACGAAGCAAAGTAACAGGACCTGATGGAATAACTGCAGAGGGTGGAGAGAGTTTACTCTCTACGTTAACTAAGGTACTAGGCTTACTTAACGTACTAGGTCCCGGTCGATAACTGCTACCTTGTCGTGGTGGTCGGGCTTGAATACAACAAAGACCCCACATGCTAAACTGACTGGGGCTCTGTCCTTGCAGGTCCCACCATGTCAGGAAGGTTATTTGGATAGCGGTTAAACTAAAAGCAGTTACCATGGGGTACATGGGCTCCAGTATCCAATCGGATCAAATGGCGTATGAACCCATATGGGTCACCGGAAACCATGGGAATGCAGCTCCTGACGCTGCTCCGCTGCCTTACGGATTAGACTCCAAGTCAAAGGCTCGGGGGTGGTCCCTTAATAAAACCACCTGCTTCGGTCTGGGCGCCCGGGCAGTATCTCAGCCCTCACACAATGAATTGAATGAAGCAACAATCAATGAAACTTATCGCTTGCTATTACACGTGTTGCAATTTCCTTCTTTCTTCCCTTCCCGATGTTAGTTAACGAATACTGTTTGGACTTGTTAAGCATGACTATTTTCCTTCCAGATGAAGTTCTTTATCCGTTCTCTACTTATGTATATATATATTTCTCTTCTTTTTTTCCGTTTTGATCTATGTTGTTTTATTATTATTGTGTGAGGCATCCTTCTTGGTGCCATATTGTACCAAGTTTTTATGAGTTTAAATAAATAAATAAGGTACTAGGCAGCGTCTGGGAATCACAGGCAGTCCCATCCGGTTGGTGTAAATCAATGATTATCCCCATATTGAAATCAAAACAAGATTTTGAGCGAACAATTATTTCCAAAAACTTCTTCAGGCTCTGCAGTTATAAATCCATGAATAATAGAGTACATATAGCGTCAATAAAGGTGAATGAAAATAATATCAGAAACTGCATTGGGGTGCATGTGTAAGGCGAGATGATAGTCCATTAGTTAACATAGTAGTCAATTAAATGTGTATAGGGTGTATAGTCAGAAAACATGTGATGAAGTGTGAATGAACAATTGGGTGATATAGTGTTGTTTTTTAGTCAACAGAATACTAGTGTCATGTCACTGGGGTGAGAGAAATGCAATAACCACAAAATACATACAAATACACATTAACAAAGGAGGCAGTGATTGTGAGGGCTGACCGATAATGTCTAATGATAAAATAAAGAGGCTAAATTGTAAATTGTAATAAAATGTTATAGATTTGATAGGCTTAGAATAAAATTATAAAGGTTGACAAAAAGTAAGGGTAACAATGAGGTGAAATAAACTGGGTAGTGAAATGGACCAGGGTAGACAGAGAGAGTGAATAAGCTTTTCTGTACACATAAGTCTGGTCTCTCTCTATTAATTTCAAAAGCCTCAGGTATGGCTAAGAGGCGTAATCGTGTGCCTTTGGGGAGATTGTTCGGTACTCGATACACAACTGTAAATGACTCATCTGCTTTGATGGTGTGTTTGCTATCCACTATATCACCCAATTGTTCATTCACACTTCATCACATGTTTTCTGACTATACACCCTATACACATTTAATTGACTACTATGTTAACTAATGGGACTATCATCTCGCCTTACACATGCACCCCAATGCAGTTTCTGATATTATTTTCATTCGCCTTTATTGGCTATATGTACTCTATTATTCATGGATTTATAACTGTAGAGTCTGAAGAATAAGTTATCGGAAATAATTGTTCGCTCAAAATCTTGTTTTCATTGATTATCCCGATATATAAAAAGGGAAACAAGTCTTGCTGTGATAATCACAGAAGGACTACTATGATCAATATGCTATCCAAAGTCCTAGGCTGAATAATCACGCGTAGACTAAGCGGTACTCGGGATGAAAAGACACGAGACAACCAGGCAGGCTTCAGACCAAGAAGAGGGTGTATCCGTCATATCTTCACCCTTCGACAGATTCTGAAGCATACGCCTACTTACCGGTGTCCAACAATCGTCATTTTTTTTTACCTAAGGCCGCATTCAATTCCGCCGACCGGGAGGTACTGTGGCGATGTTAGGATGTATAGGGAATACCGAGGAAATGCATTGCAATGATCAAGGCACTCTACTCGTACTTATGGAGCCAACCAGGTAAGACCCTACAGAGGGTTGTCATCTGAAGTGGTAACAACCACTGGTGTCTGTCAGGGATGCCCACTATCCTCATGTCTATTCAATTTCATCACAGATGCACTGATGGAATTAATCATAACTGACTTCAGCAATTGACTTGTTACCAGGGATAATCTCGCTGACTTAGAATATGCAGATGATATAGTCCTTCTACGTGAGGACGCTGACAACATGTAGGGTCTTCTGAACACCTTGAGCTGCAATCTACGAATGTTTGGTATACGATTCGCTCCCGCCAAATGTAAGATGATGTTACAGGACTGGACTACACTGACTCCTAGTTTAGAAATACGGAGTAAAGTGGCAGAGCACATTGACCATTTCACTTATTTGGGAAGTACCATCAGCCCCAACGGGTTGATCTCTGACGAAATCTCAGAACGGATACAGGGGGCTAGTTTCGCATTTGCCAGTTTACGCTGTCTCTGGTGCAGACGTGATACCCGACTGGCTATCGACCAAAGGGCGAGTGTACTGCTCATCAGTCCGCTCCGTCCTCCTTTATGGATGTGAGACCTGGCCACTGAGAGTGGAAGACATGAAAAGGCTAGCTGTCTTTGATCATAGGTGTCTGTATTCTATCTCCCGTGTGAAGTGGTAGATGTAATAGGGTAAGCAATATTGGGGCTAGGCTTCAGTCGAGTGCTGGGTAGGTAAGGTGGGGAAATCAATCGACGAGGCTGTGAAATTACATCGACTGAGATGATAAGAACATGTATTACGAATGCATGTCTAGCCATCCATCGCCTTCCTCAACGGTATCAATGTCAGCTGAGATAAGATGGGTCAGGTTGGAAAACACCTACTGGTGGTCACACCAAGATATGGCATCATCGGTCAATGAAGTCCACAACAGTTAGTTGAAGCAAGCCAACCATGTAAGTAAGGGGTGTAGACTAGCTTCCTGACTGGCTGAGGTCCTCGGAATAGTAAAAACCAGTGACCGAAGACAATTGGTGATATGGCTAAAAGTCTTCATCCTCACCTCAGTGGCTGGCGCAGATGCATCCACTCTTTGTGATTTATAATATCCAATAAAATTCCATCGTTCTTACATATTACCATTCTTTTTCTCTAACTTCTGTTCACTATCTCTCTTCTGAATCTTCCTTTAATCTCTTCGCTTGCCTTGTGTGCTATATAGACTGCGAGTGACAACTCGAACTGCTGTACATCTATGCAAAGTAGTTCAACGTTGAAACCAGTCAGTTAGTCATGTGTAACAGTGAAGTGGGACGAACACACAAGTCTCAGAGTAGGTATGCACATGTGCACATCAATTTCAGGGATAACAGAAGAGAAAACTGACTAGAGTGAATTGCACAGTTAAGATTTCTATAACGGGGAAAACAGTATCTTCTAACTGTGACTGAGTTTCAACATGAAACTTTGCACAGGAATCCAGCTCGTTGAGAGTTGCCACACTGGATGCATCATCACACACAACGGTGGGAGAAAGAAATTCAAAATAACTATAGTGAGCAGACAGGGCCTGGAGGAAGAGTGGCAACATGAAACAAAGAGTGAATACATCTGTGTTACTGAGAACGATTTTGAGCCAACCTTACCAATAGTCTCCAGTCATTGATTCTTCGAATCCCAACGATTCCAGCCAGGCAGTCTGCACCACACTTCGTGACTGCCTCAAATCAACTGTCAACAACTTTCTGAACTGAAGGCCAGGTGTGTTGGTTTAACCACCCCTAAAAATCTCTTCCAACCGAATCTTATGTCAGCTAACATTGCTCATTGAGGAAGGAGATGACTCTGAATTCACAACACATGCTCATACCATCTCAATAGATACAGCTTCACAACCTCATCGATGCACTTTCCCCCCGCCCCCCTTACCTAACACTCAACGCCTACTACCTTCAATATTGCTCACTATCCCACATGGCACTGGACACTGGATGTAGAAAGCAAATGTCAAAGACAGCATTTTTATATAGCTTCAGCTTTCAATCACCATGTCTCACAGTCGTAATGAAGGACAGAAAGGACTGGTGTGCAGTACCACATGTTCTTTGATCAACAGTCAACCGGAGTGACGTAATCGGACTATTGCTATACGATCCTTTAGTATTCATATCTTCTATCAAATCATGGTTTATACTTTCAGTTTCACTAGTGTTATTACAGCTTCATTTATCCGTCAGTGGAATAATAATAATAAAGTCGAAATAATCAAGTGTTGTTATTCCTTCAGATACAAGTTAACAAAATCTTATGAGCTTATCAATGTGGCAGGTGTGTGAGTGTGTGTGTGTGTGGTATTGAAAAGATGTTATATGTAGCACATTGTGAGTGATATTTTTTTCCGAATAGTCAGCGAAGTGACGGATTAAATTGTGAAGAAGAGAAATGACAGATCCTTGTGCGAAACACACCACACATGAAAAGAATGAAAGGAAGACAACAAAAGAAGCACAAAACGAAGATGTGGAAGTAAGGATCGCGAAATGAAAGGCTTCTGCACTTTGACATAAATGTACACCTTTGGGTGAAATGTGTCAAATAAACATTTTTGCCAGTAAATACTAGTGTGTTCTGCCATTATAATGGAAGATATCTAAAACTATTTGTGTAATTTCTACGAGAAGAACAATTAGGTTCCATCAACTGAGTACTACTGAAGAGTTTTTATATATATAGCCGATATGTAGAACAACCACCTGCAGACAATAACAGAAGGGATTATTTGACCCACACCTGAATTGGCGGACTTTGCTGGTCGCTCCCTCACACTACTTTCTTAATGATTATCAAATTCACCTGTTAACCTGAAGGTTCATGAGTTCGTCCCTCAGTAGGGCCATGTCTGTCTGTCTGAGTGCCGACTCTACTTAGGAGTTCCAGAACTAGGACGAAACACTTGTCCAGTATTCTCTCTGGTTATCTTCAACTGACATCACTGTGAATTTTTATTTTATTTGTTTATATCGTAAAAATTCTACGGAAAACTGTTTAACAGGCTTTCAATTTGGTGAGTTTATGTAGTTATAACTGTAAAAATAGGTGAGAAAATATCAGCGGTGTAAGAAATCATATTATTATTATTATTATTATACAATTATTTCACTATACTCGTTTGCAAATGTAACCGTAGCCCACCGGTTTAGGTGCTCAACTTCCAATCACAGTTGGTCGAGGGGTTTGAGCCCCGTTGCACCCACCTACCGCAGTTTATGACTCATAGCCAATTGCATCGAAGTGCAAGTGGATGTTGTGTCGCTATGTATTTCATCATTTTGAGTATTTCCATCTATCAACTCATGGTTCAAGTTCTTACTTATTGGATTTCATCATGAGCTGATGACATCGATTAGAGAACCAACCATCTGGGCGTACTGGACAACTGTTTCTGTCCTCCTAGTTCGGGACACCTCATCAGTACGCACCCATCGCCAAGGTTCGAACCCAGCACCCTCCAGTTATACAAGGTGAGTGAATTCATTGACCATCACAAACCACTGGGACACGATTCAATCGCCACCACATGAATTCCAACTTCCTACTCATTGTCGTACGATTTAACAGTCAGTGAAATAAAAAGTTTATGTATGAAGTTATCTCATTCATTGGCATTCTCAAAATACAAGTCCTTTCTTTATTATTCACAGGCGTGTAGAAGCTCATTCATCATTATTCATAAACAATGGTGATTACATCAGCCTAGTTTTTATTGGATTAAAAAATTGTGCAATATGCTGACTGATCACAAAAAGGAAGTTCCCCCAAAAGCATGTTATATTGGGAATCCAATTATTAGGAATATTATATGATCAGGACATAACAAAAATCAATTCAAGACAATTCAACTCAACTTACGCAACCACGGAGAGGTGAACGTTCATCAAATTCCACAGACACTGAAACAGTGGACGAAGAACACGGTTCAAAAGACGAATTTCGTCCCGGATTTTCGGCTAAGGTATAAATAAATCTTTTATATTAATGTATATTATTAGAGTACATTAAAAATGTGCTTATTATTTATTTTGTTGCCTTACGTTCCCAGTGGAACACACGGCTTCAAGCTAGAACCTAGAAGATTCGGTAGCAGTGGTTTTTATTTTATTTTGATGGTTGGGGTTGACAGCGTCATACTCAACATTCCCTCTTAACCGGCCTAACTACCTGACTAACAAGGTTTGGGAGTTCGTCAGCCAAGGGATCGATCCTCGGACCACGTGAGTGGTTGGTGAATGTTCTACCAATGAAACACCGATGCACTGCAAATGTACCTAGAAATACATAAGTATATATGTATATACATCTATATATAGACACTTATGAACCAAAGTATCATTCATACAATTAAAGAAATGTGACAGGCGACTCAACGAACTCAATTTTCTGTCCTCGGGTAAATGAAGGTGTAGTAAAAGTCGTCAACAGTTCGACCCTAACACGCCAGGCTGGTTAGTACTGGACAATCTTCCCTCTATCATCTATCCAGGACCGAATAAATTACTGACGGCCTCTCAATATCAAATACTCGAAACAACAAAAGCTTATGGCTATTCGCTTACACTAATCGGAGCTCTGTGTGGAAAACGAACGTGAATGGCAAAGAATTTACTATATTGATGTTAGATGTTTGATGGTAATTGGCAGGAAACCGTCTACATAGGATTCGTGCTTACCAGAACTCATCAGTAAGCACGATACAGGGCGTCCCGCTGGTTACCGACCATCTATCATGATCTCAGAGTGCATAATAATGGTGAGCCACCTACCTTGGTGACCACATTGGAAACTTCACTAACAGAATTTAGTCACCAAGGACGAGATTCACTACCTCGGGACTCCATCAAATATAACTTCAAATCGATGGTGAATAATAGGCTGAAATCTCCGATTTTGCATCAAACTCTGAACGTGATATAAAGTGACAAACACTCGTTTCCATGTCCCCTAAATAACTGAGCTTACGTGCTTTTATGGTCAATAATTTGATTTTTTGTTCCAAATTATTCTGTCAGATGCATTTCGTGGTGTAGAACCAAACGGAGTTCTCCCATAAGCATTGAAAATGAGCCAAGACACCTCAGAGGACACCACAGACACCACTACTTTAGAAGGCTTCGAAGGAAGCAAAGGCGTCTACTGACTAGAATTTGTTCTACCTTGTTAAATTATGAAAAACGGGAGACTTGAGGAATTGAAAGAAATGGCGCAGAATCATGCTCCTATCTAATCTAAACAAAATATCAAATTACGTCACCCTGAGGAGACCTTACAAGATGCTATGAATACAAAACTCCATCCGGAACAAGCTGGATGGAGAAAGATCAAATCATGTGCGCATCAAATCACACCGCTATGCATCATCATCAAACACCACCACTATCAATGAATACGCTGCAATAGTGGCAGTCAAATCTCTACCTCAACTTCATCGACTTTGATAAGGCCTTCAACAGCGTTGACAGCGGAGGGATGTTCGGAATCTGCTTCAACACTACGGAGTGCAGTGTTGTGAACATCTTTTAACCTCATAGAACAGCTATATGAGGATGATACATGTCAAGTGATTCACAACAGCAGGCTCAGCGAAACCTTCGAAGTGAACACTAGAGTAAGACAAGACCGATGAGAAGACTTCGGAAGACATGGACACCACACATGTCGTATGTTAAAAAAAAACTAGATAATCTGTAGGTGAAAACCAACAACTTGGCAGAAAAGGCAGTAAAGACAGGATTTTATGTCTACACTAGGGAGACAGAGGTCATGAAGGTATCGATCCAACAACAAACTCTAATCACCATCAACGACAGCAATTTGAAGCAAAGTTACCTTCTCTGACTCACTTCCCAGAATAGACGACACAGGTGAAAATGTCAAAAGAGGGATCAGAAAATCAAGAGAAACCATTCATTACTCTGAAATCTGTGTGGAAACCTACTATATTCAGCACAACCAACAAGATCCGGATATTCAACACTGATGTCAAGTCAGTCAGCACTTCTATATGATTCAGAGACACGACATTGCTCAAGAAGCACTTCCCAACCGACTTTCGATCAACAGCTGTATTCGCTAGCTCAATACTGAAGGTAGAATGGACAGAGAGCATAAAGAACTGTGGCAAAGAAGCAGCCAACAAACCCCTTGCCCAACACGAAAATATGCTGAAGTGAAATGAGATAGATTGGACCTGCACCACACCAGTTCGACCATCGGATGGAGCCCGAATGGACAAAAACAACTTCGACGTCCGAAAGTAACACGGAGGAGGTCACGCGTCAGAAGGAAATGAAAGTTTGTGAGAAATCGTGAGGCCAGTTAGTAAGGACTTCAGACGGCCCTGGATGAAATCGAAATGTCCCTCTGAGGCCTTGTGTGTTACACATGGAACCAAGGGGAACAATAATAATATAATAAATCTCTTGGTATCAGGTCCGCTTTCAGATACGTGTGATTGTAATGAGACTCCTTCAGAAAAATACAAAACAATCGCAAATATCTCTGAGTAAATCTTCTAGTGGAAAATACTGTACACATACTGAAAAGACAATCTAACCTGAATCTTGCATATCAATTTGAATGAGCTCTGGTGGAGTGTAAAGTGATGTACAGTTCATTGAATCCTATACAAAAGTGAAAGAAAAAGAAACAATTAATGTAGTGCTATGTAGGGACTTGTTATGCCAACTATTATACCACATTAACAGTACGAGTTTGCAGAGGCATCATTCACAAGATATCCAAAAACGCAAACACACACACACTGACAGTACATCCTCATTATGACAAAGTGAATGTTTCTAAAGATGTGTCAATAAAATTTTAAGTATTTAGATGGCAACTACGTGCATAAAATAGTGCTTCACGTCCCCCCTATTTCCCACGGAAATGTCCATCTCATTCTGTCATCTGTTGACAAGCGTATGGTGACTAGTAGAGATAGGGAGTGTTGTGTCGACACGATGCCTAGGCTTGCTTATGTTAATGCTGGTTAGGAGGACAGTTCCACCTACCTACCTACTTACCAGACGGGTAGGTAATGGTAAGGCTGACACTAACTATCCCATCAATGAAACAGTGAATTGGGGTTCTCAAACTGTACTGTTGTTTGGATAGGGTAGATGGCGGTCAACGGTTATCTATCACGAGTAGTCCACTCATGTTTTCTTCCAACGAACAATCTCACAACTCCTCTTTTCTTCACTAACACCCATCAGTAATCAGCAGTAAAGTTAAAGTCAGCTCAACAAGACTTTCAGTCCCTTAAGATGACACTGCCAACTTTAAAGTTCCAACTTTACAACAAATCGGAAACCACGAGTTAAGCCGAAACTTCGATGCTTAGGACTGTGGATTCCATGTTGTGTGTAGTCATTCACTTTACGTCATCTAACACGATGCAGCCAGACAGTTAGTTTCCGTAGTCTTGGGGTAGACACAATGTTAAGCTCTACAAATGAAGTCCACTGCTTGACTGAATCCCAGTTGGCCAGAATAAATCATACTCATCGTACATTCTGTACCTGCAATCTTCGGGTGAAATTTAGAAGAAGTGAAAATCAAACTCCAAGACAATCGATTGACGGAAGATAACCGTTAGTTTTAACCTACTCACATCTTTACAATTGAACATCTGCATTAAAGTGAGATGATTGGATCCAGAAAACAATCAACTAGACAATCCTTGACATCTTCAGTCCACACATGTCAGTCTACAGTGTATTTTGGAAACACTTGGTGCCATGTTCACTTAGCACAGAGATAATTTCCCTTGTGATAATAACAACAGAATTCATTCGACCAATACGGTCCAAAGATACTAATGTCCACGGACGTGTGTTTGCTTGACAAATTAGTGTGGGACAGATGTGCATCAATTGAATGTAACTGCATACCTCAACATGAGGTAGTTACTTCACAGCATAACAAGTATATAATTCTGTTAGAGACAGACAGACAGACAGACAGACAGACGGACGGACGGACGGACGGATAAAACACAATGTCCACTGACAACTGTAAGTGATTCGCCACTGATAATCATCCCGCTTTTCCACAGGACAGTGCTTAGATTATCAGTCTGTATCTTGACTTCAATGCAAAGAAAAACAACAAAAGCACCAGCTTGAGTTTATTCAGTGTACACGTAGAAGTCTTATTTGATTATTGCAGTGTTATTCATCGAGTGAGTGGGCCATAGGTTAAGGCATTCGATTTCTATCCAAAAGGTCGAGAGTTCGAATCCCACTCCACCTAATTCGCATCGATTGGGAAACGAGCTAGGTAGTATTGCTATCAACTCATAAGAAATAAGTGCGACTCACAGCTCTCAACCGGCCAACTGAATTCCAACTGATTATTCTATGTCTATTAAGCATCAACATCCATCATCACCCTCAGCACAATTATACTTCTAGGAAAATTGAATGTACACACGACAAAAGATACGGTGGTGGGTTCCTCCTCCACAATACGACGACTAGTACAGTCCTTCAACAAAAATAAAACCAACAAATTGGTCAAGTAAATTCTTCACTGCTTACTTACCTTGAATTCACTGATCAGCATTTTTCGATCCATTTCCGCAGTCAGACGAACAATTGATGCATTTTCACTGTTTCGAAAAATAGAGGGGAAATAAAACAGTTAGTGCAACGACTACTTTTCTTCATGTCTCTATTGCGGAATACATTGACGCATCCAATCAGCTAAGACACACCACACACACACACACATACCTCACCTCAATCCACAGTAAATTCAGTAGAACAGTCACTTCACCATTACTACTCATCACTCATCATCTACACACTTCACAAGGTTGAAATAGGCCACAGACAAAGGAGAACTGAAATGGACACTAGTGAAAATCAGGTGGGTGAACACAACAGTAAATTTGAAGAATCTTACAGATCGACAGTCTTTTCAGATCGCTGAACAAACTCTATACACAAATATCTTCCCTAGTAAGTGCAATATTCAACCTGACGGATATGAAGAATGATTTCGCTTGCGTAACGCACTCACACCACCTAACCTATCACCACCTGACTTCATGAACCACTGCTGCTATGGATTCAACTTAGACATTCCTTGACTTTTTCACAGCCTACTCCTACTTCACATTTCCCAGTGTAATGCCTCATGTCTGTCTGTCTGTTTTCGACATAGAACTTTGCACAAATGTGCGGAAGTTCAAGTCGCCACATTCCGTGTAGCACGCGAAGCAAGAGAAGAAAGTACAAGAAAAGCATAATAGAAACAGTGAGCAGAGGTGTGAGACAAAGGAGTAATAAAGAAATACAAAACAGTTTCATTGAAGATCATAAGTCACAGGGAGTGGATGCGTCTGCGCCACTGAGAACGGTTTTGAGCCATGTCACCAATTGTTTCCAACCATAGAATTTTACCGTCCCGAGGACCCCAGCCTGGAAGTCTACACCTTTCTACGTGGCTTAGACCAACTGTTGTGGATTTCATTGACTGGTGCCAAGTTTTTGTTTGACCGCCGCTAGCTTTTTTCCAGCCTGACCCTATATCCGCTAACATAGCTCGTCGAGGGAGGCGATGGCTTGGCATACGTAACACATGTCCTAACCATCTCAGTCTTTGTAGCTTCACGACTTCGTCGATTGATTTCCCCTGTTTACCTAGAACTCGACGCCTAACCTCCATGTTGCTCACCTTATTATGCCACTTTACACGGGAAATAGAACGCAGGCACCTATGATCAAAGACAGCTAGTCTTTTCATGTCTTCCACTCTCAGTGGCCAGGTCTCACAACCATAAAGGAGGACGGAACGGACTGATGAGCAGTACACCCGCCCTTTGGTCGATAGTCAAACATCTCGTCTACGCTAGAGTCGGCGTAAACTAACAAATGCGAAACGAGCCCCTTGTATTCGTGCTGAGATTTCGTCAGAGATCAGCCCGTTGGGGCTGATGGTACTTCCCAAATAAGTGAAGCGGTCAACGTGCTCTACCACTTCACTTCCTAGTGTCGGTAGGCACATACAATAGTGGATCATTCTTCGGAGGAGGAAAAGATTTGGAAATATACATCAACCAATATACTTTGTTGGTATTATACTCGACAGTTGACCTCTGAACAGCTTATTATTGTCAGGTGGTCTTACAAAGATAGTAATAGTTTCGAACTTAAAGGCTGCTCAGATCCTTTATTCCTCATATCAATGTTCCATCATTGTACATCACATTTGACTGTTACAAACAACCACCCATCTCACCACGATATAATTGACCACAATTAATGACGCAGACTAATGTGTAGCGGTGAAGTAGGATGAATGCACCAGTCGTAGGGTAGCTAATATGTGCAAATTAATCAACTAAGGGATGACAGTACAGAAGACTGTGTGCAATTAATTGCACAATTGAAAGTTCTACACAAGAAAAGCACCCTTACTGACTGACTGATTGGTGAATAGGAATGTAACAGCAGTGATTTATTCCCTCAAATGACTAGTGCGCGACGAGCTATGATGTCTCTCCGCTCTGGCCTTTCGGCGGTGGTCTAATGACGGCAGTAAGATCATCATGTGGACACAACTCTAAAAACCAACTTGAACAACACATAAGTGACTCGCCTAAAACAGTTGGCCCCTGAACTTTTGAGGTCACACAACATTAACGCTGCTTCTGTGTCGTGTACACCAAGAAGAAATCAACTTCAGTCGTATCAGCAACCAGGAACTAACATCCACCCACACATTTCCATGAGAACACAAAACTTGCTTTTCTCCTACTGTTATTACTATCCTACGACTGAACGGGCTGCGATCAAGCCGCTATAACACCAACTTGATGAGAACACTAAATTCCAATTTAAAGGAGATATAACCAAACATGTATCCGAGATTGACAGTAACACTTGCCCTGAGGAAACCTAGCGTAATATCCAGTCAGCTGTAGAGACATCAGTAAGACCAAAGGGGTTAGCGTATCCCAGAGGGTTTCTCCCGCTCAGTTCAAACTGATCGACGCAAGATTACTGATTCTGTGGAGGATTCGAACACGATGAAAAGCGAAAGCTGCTTAAAACGCTAGCTGACCAAGTCTTGATAATGACCGTGAGAACAGTGGTAGGCCACAAAAGTAAAGGAGATGGGGAAAGGCCCCGGTGACAGAAAACTATTTTAAATTATTAGAGAAACACGTCACACAAAGACAGATAGTAGGTGAGACAAACTCTGGGAAAAGCGGTGTCTTAATTAGCACCAAAGACACAACGGGAGCAATGGAAGGAACACTTCGAGGAGCAATTCAACTGACTTAAAACCACGCTCATCTTGCCCGTCAACCGAAAGGTGCAATGGCAATATTTTAGCAGTGAAGGGAGTGCCCAGAAATTATATTCCACCAATCAAGGCAATCTACTCCAACTCACAAAGTTGTGTTAGGGCCTGTGGAGGATTGCATATGAAGTGATTACTTTCTTAATAGGACACAGTCTTGTGTACTTATGATTTTTTCAATCACAGTCAAGATGTGCTTTACATTCATTCCATCAAAGAAGAATTTGAATCTCCGTCCAACTCGAGGCTTTCCCCTTTATGTATTTGACAATGATGGAGAATTGATTCACTGGCCTATGCACTCGACTTCCAGTCAGTATCCCTCTGTTTCGTATCTCGCTTTGTCGACCTCAGGTCTGGGCAACTGGATGCATCATCAGCCTACAGACAATGAGTGTGACTAGTAGCCTGGAACATGAAACATGTGTAGCGAGAACTGAGTTCAGACAATACTATTTGACAGTCAGTTGTACCTGTTGTGTTACTAATGACAATGGTATCCAGCTGCTTAACATTTGACAAGCTTAGTAAAGTTGAACTCGTAACTCTTGGCACAAAAACTAACAACCTCAGTGAATGGATGGATTTTGGTGACTTGAACTATTCTTAGTACTTCCATAGTCATCACTGATTTTCATCAAAATTCTGTCTTACCTTCAAAACACTTAATTCAATCAAATTAACACAAATTAACTCTACAGACAAGAATTCTAAGTCAATTACCGTAAGTATCAAAGTGGATTTACTCGTAAAACATACAATATCACCTGAGGAATTGACTTGCTACCGGGGAATAATCTCGTTGACTTGGAATATGCAGACGATATAGTCCTTCTAGGCGAAGACGCTGACGAAATGCAGAGTCTTCTAAACACCTTGAGCAGCAATCTACGAATGTTTGGAATGAGATTCGCTCCCGCCAAATGCAAGATGATGTTACAGGACTGGACTACATCGACGCCTAGTTTAAAAATAGGAAGTGAAGTGGTAGAGCACGTTGACCGCTTCACTTATTTGGGAAGTACCATCAGCCCCAACGGGCTGATCTCTGACGAAATCTCAGCACGAATACAAGGGGCTCGTTTCGCATTTGTTAGTTTACGCCGACTCTGGCGTAGACGAGATGTTCGACTATCGACCAAAGGGCGGGTGTACTGCTCATCAGTCCGTTCCGTCCTCCTTTATGGTTGTGAGACCTGGCCACTGAGAGTGGAAGACATGAAAAGACTAGCTGTCTTTGATCATAGGTGCCTGCGTTCTATTTCCCGTGTAAAGTGGCATAATAAGGTGAGCAACATGGAGGTTAGGCGTCGAGTTCTAGGTAAACAGGGGAAATCAATCGACGAAGTCGTGAAGCTACAAAGACTGAGATGGTTAGGACATGTGTTACGTATGCCAAGCCATCGCCTCCCTCGACGAGCTATGTTAGCGGATATAGGGTCAGGCTGGAAAAAAGCTAGCGGCGGTCAAACAAAAACTTGGCACCAGTCAATGAAATCCACAACAGTTGGTCTAAGCCACGTAGAAAGGTGTAGACTTCCAGGCTGGGGTCCTCGGGACGGTAAAATTCTATGGTTGGAAACAATTGGTGACATGGCTCAAAACCGTTCTCAGTGGCGCAGACGCATCCACTCCCTGTGACTTATGATCTTCAATGAAACTGTTTTGTATTTCTTTATTACTCCTTTGTCTCACACCTCTGCTCACTGTTTCTATTATGCTTTTCTTGTACTTTCTTCTCTTGCTTCGCGTGCTACACGGAATGTGGCGACTTGAACTTCCGCACATTTGTGCAAAGTTCTATGTCGAAAACAGACAGACAGACAGAGAATATGAGAGCGTTACAGAAAAACGCTTAAAATATGCTACACTCTGTATTACCAGTCAAAATAAATCACTGAAACATTATTATTATTATTATACTGTTATTATTCCCCTGGGTTCTCTGAGTGCGACATACGACTTCAGCAGCCCATCTACCATTTTACCTTGTTTCCTGACGTTTTCATTAGCCGGCTCCATGATTTCCGACAGATTTTCATTCCCACTTCACACCATCTCCTGCATGTTACCCTCGGAACCACGTCCAACGCATTCTTCCTTATAAGGATCCGACTCGAGGACCAGCATGGAGTATAATATCACTCAATGTTTTCCTCCGTGTAAGTCCAATCCATCTCCATTTCATTCCGCATACTCATAGGTTGGACAATAAGCCCTTGACTGTTTCGTTACCAGAGTTCCTTGATTTCTCTCCTTTTTGGCTGGCCATCTGGTCTTCACCATGGGGCAGGAGAAGGCAGCTGTTGATGAAAGTCTGCACCATCCAACTGGAAATGCTATTGGTAACGGAACATGTTTCAGAACCGTAAAGTGCCACTGACCCCACAACAGTGTTGATAATCCCTACCTTCTTCCTTGTAGTGAATGCAGTAGATTTACAAACTGATTTCAGATCAATCAATGTCTCTCATGCTTTTCCCACCTTGGCTGCATTTCGTATTCTCACCGTGTCACCTGTAGTTAAAAAGATGCTGCTTAGTTAGGTGAAAGAGGCAACTTCGTCCAAATTTCTCTCCTTCATGGTTAGTGATCCTTGTTGTTATTCGTTTGGTGTCTTCACCACCTCTGTCTTCTCCTTCTTCGCTTGAAGTTCAATTCTCTCCCCTGTTGGTTCTCACCTGTAGATCTCCGAGTTTATGTGACATTACACATAAGTCATCCGTCAAGTCCATATCTTCAAGTGTCTTCCTGCTTTCAATCTTCCAAACGCCTGGTGCACGATCTAGTCTACCATAATCAGGTATTTCATCGCTGACAGTATGCAACCCCGTCTCACTCGTCTCTTCACTCTAAAGCGGCTTCGCTGAGCTTTCCCTTGTGAACCATCACATGGCGTATGACATCATCAAATACCTATCCCCAGTATTGTAAACTCAGTGTTACAAAAAGTTGATCATAAACCTTGACAAATAATCTCTAATGTACTGATGGCTGTACTTAAAAGGCATGGGACAGTAATACATATGCCTACAATGCTAATGATAGTTGCCACACAACGATGAATTCATCTACCAGAAGATATTATCAGCAAGTAACTTTATACAACACAGACAATAATTGAAAAAACACCTACCCATTGGAAAGAATCTCTTCTGATGTCGCAGAAGGTTTAGCTGGACTCAATTCGGCATTTATATCTATTCAGGTGAATCGATTAGTGGCTTATACAAAAATGTCTACCCGGGGGTCTAGAGTATGGTAAGTAGTAGAATGGACCCACTAATGGCTTGAAGTCGCCATCGTTGTCCACCAAATTCTCTGCTTTGCGGAGTAATTCTACTCCAGTACTATCATAACGCTTCTTTAACGCATTTAATACCCATTTCGCTTTGGCTTTATCACCTGAAAAAGACTTAATTACTGAAGTAGTTTAGGACATACCATTCATGCAATACTGATGAGCTAGGCCTACAATTAAGTGAATATTTTTCCATCCATATAGAGCAAATGAAGTAAGATATGCGAAACTGTTTCTACCATTTCTAGGAAAAATTTTAACTGCAATGAAACAGCTTACTCGAACACATCGAGAACCGCTCTTCGGAAAGAAATTATAGAGAACGTCTCATTAGTCCAGTCAATTTCCAAATTCTAGAAAAGAAACAAAATATTAACGATTAACGCCGACTTACATTCACAGCGTCTTCATATACTCCTAAAAGAACTTTAGGAATATCTTCATCTATTCCCATTGACCTAACTTTCTCTTCCATTTTGTTGATGTAAGTCACCCATTGTTCGTAAGAATGAGGATCAGTAGGGTCTCAAATAATACAAAAATGAAAAATCGTGAGCTTATAACTTACAATAAGCCTTGGACACACTTGACAAAAGTTCTTCTGGATTCGTTGCCATAGTCACAAGTAACTAGAGTATTCCAACTGCATGAAGAGTAAGAAGAAAGGGAGATCGTGTCAAATAATACCAAAATTAAAAAGTGAGGCTGTAGAATTTACGGAATGCAGAATCCATGCTTTATTTTATTAGACAATCGTAAAACATACAAGGATGTATGTACTTATTTTGCAACACATCAGGATTGCAGAGAGAGAAATGATATGCGGACAAGACAGTGCCCAAGTGACACGGAGGAAAAACAAGGATATGAAGACTAGTTGAATATTGGAAACTTTGAAAGCGATACATACTGCTAAAGCCATACTCCCACCCATCACATTTTCTACTAGTTTTACATATGAGAACAAGAAAGCTACAATACGATAGTTTTGATTTCGATATAGTTTATATTTGGAAATATCTTGACCTGCAGAATTGTTTGCTCTCTTAGATCTCAATCGACAAGCCCTCATACAACAACCGATGCTAATCACTCATAGTCAACTAGCTCCAGAATTCTTTAGTAGACATCAAGCATGACTCTGAAATAAACACTAGTATGATATCCAAACTACAAAAACATCCACCATCATATGACAGCCCGAGGAGTCTCCGTTTGACGTCTTTGAATGTCCATCTGAGGTACTAATTTTAGCCCGACTCCACTGCTGGCGAAATAATGGACACTTCTTTTCCCAACTCGAATTCAGGCATACTGGTCCTGGAAACATTAAAGAACACTTCCATCAGTGCCCACGAAACGATCATTTGTGTTAAAAAGGCAATTTCAGATGGAGAAAGAAAAGAACCATGTTTAAATAAATATGATAATCACCAATGTTTCCACGATCGAGACAGAATTCCTCATTTGGAAAGTGCCTCAAAATAAACCCCAACAAATTTTTTGTAATACACAGGAACGAGAGTAGGAATAAAACAACACTACAATTAGTAGTGATAAGAGTCAGATAAGATTAAGGTTCAGTAGAAATACTTCATCATAACAGGAATAGGGTTACAATACCAGTGCACGGACAACACTGAAGAGTATTCGAAGGCAAAGGCAATGGAGGGAAATTCCAATAGATGCGGAATATGCTTCAAAATACATTTTCATCTAAACTTCCGCTGCATACACATTAAAAAGACATACAAGTCTAGGGTTGGGACTCGCATAACTTCACTCAGTTAGTTCATCCTTGAAGCAAAAAATGCCTCGTGTCATTTTATTCGCAGTAATCACTAAACATGACGTAAGGTAATGAATTCTTACTAATATTTATGTAAAAAGACACTGTATCAGGAGTTAATCACACTCCACAACGACTCTTGTACACCCGTCACAATTGTGACGAACTCGTGCTAACTATATCATTCACTTCTACCCGCTTCATGACTACGCAGTTCACGTTACTGGAGGAAATTACAAGTACGGTGACTGTAAACTATTGCAGTCCTAAAGGAAACTACCTAATGAACAGATTGATGACCTTGACGAAATCGATTTACCCTGACCATGCAGGCTCCTATGGGAAATAAGGAGTTTTCCTTGGGATTCATACCAGAATTTTTTTATGTAACCACTTTTTAACATTACATTACTTATATATAGACGTTTATTTCAAATTACGCACTTATAAGTGCGTATCTGATTGTTCGCTAAGGAGGGTTTCGCTTTGGATTGTTATAGCTTAGATTTACTAGAATAAAAAAATACGCACAGCTTAATAAATAAACGTTAATACTTTAACAACAAGAACACACACTAAGCACAAAAATGTCTAGCTAGTAGGACTCCGGTGAGGAATTTGGCGCACTGCTTAAGGTCATCGTCGACGTGATGAAGAAAAACAAGCGTTTCCAATTCAGATTCAGATTCGAATTTATTGGCTTGAAGCCTATGTTAATCTTTTTCCAGTAAATTTCTGTGGTTGTCCAAACCATTCTTGAACGAATCAATTGAGGTTGCAGGCACCATTTCTTCTGGGAGTCGGTTCCAAGAGTTTATGACTCGATGTGAGAACCAGTACTCAACAGCGATATGATTTCTCCTTGGCTTTTGAACTCTCCTGCTATGTCCTCTAAGGTGTTCCGACCTGGTGGGAAGGAAAAGAGAGAATAGGTCAGGTCCGTAGTCATTATTTAAAATTTTAAACATTGTGATTAAATCTCCCCTCTGCCTACGGTATGACAGTGAGAAGAGATTTAAACTGTCTAGTCTTTCCTTGTATGATAAGTTGGTCATGCAGTGAACCACACGTGTCGCCTTCCTTTGAACCCTTCCTAGAATGTACGAGTCGGCTTTTAGACAGGGACTGGCGGCCTGGATGCAGTTTTCCAGTCTTGACCTAACCAGAGATGTGTATAAGGAGGTGAACATATCTCTGGTAATTCTTGTGAAGGCTCTGCGAATCGCCCATAAGGACCTGAAACTACGTGCAGTCGCCGCGCGACAGTGTGCTGTAGTTTTTAAGTCGTGGCTAACTATGACACCTAAGTCCAAGTGAGTCTGAACTGATGGAAGTGTTATTCCCTCTAGTTCGTAGGAGCTCATGCTTGAGCGACTTTATTGCATATCCCCGCAATGACGCTTGTTACTATGTTGCTATTGGTTTCAAGTGGCCTTGGTTTTGGGGGAAGATTTAACTGATGTAATATTGCGATTTCATAGACATAACTCAGGCTCATAGGTGAAAGAAAGTTATTATCCTGGAATAAGAACAAGTTGTTCGTAAGGTGGGGGGGGGGACATTATTTTTCAGTTTATTTGTATATTTACTACTGTGCCTGTTGACCCTTTCTTTTTGCCGTAGTAGGCCCAAACGGTCAATATCTCACTGGTCTGGAGATGGCTGAAACATTCAGTTCAGCCTTCGTCAAACAGCTAAACAGCAATGTGGATATTACAGTTACGGACCAAAATGGTGGCACCACTATTTCACAGGAGGAAGACCTAGGGGCTACTCCCCAAATAAACCCCGCAATAGTACTAAGGAAGCTACAGCTACCCACACCTGGGAAGTCCCCAGGTTGTGACGACATCAGGCCATCTGTTCTGAAACAGTGTGCCGAAGCTCTCTGTAGACCCCTATGTGACTTGTTCCAATACTCAATGGATTCGGGGACACTGCCAAGGGAGTGGAAAAGAGCCGTCCTTTCTCCAATCTTCAAAGGTGGGGACAGGCAAAACGCCACTAGTTATAGACCAGTAGCTCTACTCCCAGTGGTATCAAAAGCACTGGAAAGTATTATTGACGACCACTTCAGGGAATACCTCGATAGGTCTAATATACAACATGAAACCCAACATGGTTTCAGTAAAGGCAGATCCTGCGTTACTAACCTACTGTCAGCTTGGGACGACTGGACATCATTCTGGGATATAAATAATAATAATAATAATAATAATAATAATATATATTCTCATTTTTTACATGAGGGACGCCAGTTTACAGGCATCATCAATTCGATAATTTACACATAATATTAGTAAGCATATCTAGTAAAGATAATATAATAAAGTACATTTTTTTTCCCTAGCTATGTAGGGTACACCAATTGTATAGGCATGCATAAATATTGTTTTAATAATAATAATATATTCCTTCCTGTTTATGCAGGAACATACCTATTGTACAGGAATGGATAAGTTATTATATAAATTACACATAATTTGATGTATAATGGACTTACAGTTTGGTTGTTCTTTCTGACATTAGGGTCAGTCGGAACAGTCTGCTATAAAGTCTGTTTGTGTAGCACATAAAGAGATATGGAAATATTGTCTTCGCATTAACAAAAAACCCAGACGTCAGATGAATGTAATACAAATATCTGGGAAAAATAAAGCTTGAAGTCAATTCTCCTATATAACTTTATGTATGAATGTACCAGTCCACGTGGTCCTCCTAAACTTTGAGAAGGCATTCGACACTGTTCACCATGACCTTCTCCTACATAAAATAATCCAGGCAGGTATAGGTGAGCCACTTCTGTCATGGTTAAAGGACTACCTAGCCGACAGGCAATTTTGCACTAAGGTTAACCGAGTCCGATCATCTTGGCACAGATCGTCATCAGGAGTGTCTCAGGGTTGTATCGTGGGACCACTGATGCTTTGATTTTTACCAATGATCTACCACGCCGTCTAAGCTACCCGACTCTCCTATACACTGACGACGTAAAAATATGGAGGGCGATAAAGTGTCTGGAGGACTCAGATAGGCTGCAGGAAGATCTAAACCTTCTGGAAGACTGAGCGGTGGCCAGTGGCATGACTTTCAACCTGGAAAAGTGCAAAGCAGTGAAGTTGCGCACCCGTAGACTGAAGAATGCAAGTTACACCCTGTGCAATGAAAGCTTGTCCTGCACAACATCGGAACGCGACTTAGGTCTAATTCTGACGGGAAAAATGGACACAAGCGTAAATTACACAGGGGATGAAGTGAGGGCATATGCGGTCATACACTTTACGCATAGACAGTTAGGTGCACAAAATCCTGAGCTCTTTCTAAGGTTGTACGAAACATATGTCAGGACACACCTCCAGGTGCATAATATTATTGCATGCCGAATGCTGAGAAGAGACGCCAACCTATTGGAAATAGTCCAACGACGGGCAACAAAAGGAGTGGTTGGTATCCGAAACAAACCATATGAGGAAAGGCTGAAGAAATTAGGCCTGTTCACACTCAGCCACCGTCAGTGTCAATGGAGTTGAAGATTGAACGATCAATTCTTGGTTGTTTGCTCAAAATCAACTTCCCCAATTTTCGCGGAGGCATCAATACGACAGTCATCGTCTCATTGGTCGCTGTTCAGAAAGAAGAGTGAAACATCGTCAGAAGTAATACAATGATTTATTATTGTAATATTTGTTTTCAGACCTTAGTTCACTTATTCTTTTTATATGTTGGTGTAACAATAAAGAAATATCAAGCGGCAGATCGGTGTTTTGGTTTTTTCGTCCGTTATAACTAAGCGTTTCCGAAATCTTCGAGGAACAGCGTGGGCCCGAGCGTAGCGAGAGCTGGGCATTAACGGTTTATGAGACGTGATTGACAGTTTCTGACGATGGAAACAGATCTGGCGGATTCAAACAGTTGGTGAAAGTTTGGATAGTCGCCGTTCATTTCTCCTGGTGCCGGTCAAGTCCTCTTTGAACAAGCAATATCTGGAACTTTTTTGGAATTTGCTCAAGTTCAACAATGCCTGGGTCAAAGAAGGGACAGAGTGTCTTGGATACAAACAGGAAAGTAAGTCATGGTGACTTGTCTGTTAATTGTAACGATGTGTCTGATGTTAAGCATGACATGGTTGATGTTACTGTTTCGCCGTTCAGGGATAATAGGAACATCAAACTCCCTAAATTTGAACCACGGTGTTTTGATGGAAACCCGGCCGATTATTTACAATTTGTAAAGGAGTTTGAGATCATGTTGAGTGGTTTTTTATTAAATGATGCATTGAAGTTAATGTATTTGATGAGATATTGCACTGGAGATGCTGCAAGAGCTATACAGTGCTGTAAGTTTATGAAGCCAAAAGAGGGCTACTACGAGGCTATGAGCATACTACGTCAAAGGTTTGGAAGACCTTCGATGATTGCAGGGAAATTATTCGAGGCTGTTAAGGGTAGTCAATTACAGGATGACTCCCAGGCACTCACTGAGTTTTTGGATAATTTGCTGATTTACAAGAATGCATTGATTTCGGTGAATTGCATGAGTGACCTCAACTCGAGTTTTATACTAGAAGTAATAGCAAGACGTCTACCTATTCAACTGCGAAGGAAGTGGGTGAAGATGAGCTCCCGTATGGAGGATGAGGGTATCGAGCCAAAGTTTGATGATATCCTGAAACTGGTAAAAGATAGCGTCAATCAATTTATGAGCAATTTTTCCAGTCTATTAGATCTCACCCCTAGAATAGAGCAGTCTGAGGGTAAAACGCACTCATTGATGACGAATAAGCCACAGAGAGGTGGATATCGAGAAGGCTCCATGATGCCTATTAATGCATATAAACTTAGTGAGTGCAACAGGTTTCGTAGTACATCCTCAACAGATAAGTTTACAAAGTTCAACTAGTCAAAGTGAAGATATAAAACCTTTAATGATTTTTGAGGAGGAACCAAAATTGTCTACTTCTGTTATTAAAGAGTTTGAAAATGATGAACTTGACGGTAAATTGAATATTTGTGGTAATGATCATGATAGTGCAGATTTGTCTTTGGTTGATCATGATGAAATGGAGGGAATGCCTACTACCGCTAAGTTAAATAAAGGTTCTGTACAACTTGAACGTGAAGTAGAAATAAATGCAGATTCAGTTGCAGAAGGCACGCATACTTGTGAGACCGTCAGTGTGATTGATCAGCATGTAGCCCACCTATCATCAGATGCCAGTGCTAAGCCTGAGCTGATAGTAAAAGACGGCAGTGGTGGTGGTCTTGCAGGTAGACAAATTTCTGAAAGTCGAGCAACAACAGCTTTTGATCCACCGCTAACTTCATCAACTGATATCAATCAGTCGTCGTTGGTGCTGTCATCCACAATGAAACAGACACCCATCATCTCAAGTATCTTGTGCAATGACTATGCTAGTATCAGTTCGTTTGAAAGGACGAATATCAATGGTCAGTTTAGTGAGGATAAGCCAAGTGTAAACGAGAGAGTAATTGTTAAATTGACTTGCACGAATAAAGGCATTTCTAGTTTCAAGTTACTATTTGAATGTTATTATCTTTGGGGTAAATTACTCTGTTTCTACACTTGGTTGATGAGATATGTCGTGTGTTTGTTGGTCATCTATATTCTACGATACAATGAC